ACCAAAAGGGTTCTTCAGGGGTAGTGAATCTGTCAGTGCTCTTTGGTTAAGGGATTCATAAAGATCAACAACGAAATCAGAAGTCCAAGGCACTTCAAAAGTAAGTGGAAAAAAAAACGTTATTAACATGGCTATTATATAGGGGAATTACCAACCTACGTCACACATGACGTCACACGGGTTACATCGCGCACACTGTTGCAATAGCAAACATGTCATGTTATGCGGTTGGATGCCAAATTCGAAAATAGAAAACTTAAATTTTACCGTACACCACACTGCTTTTAATGCCAACCTCAGACGTCTTTGGCTAACAGCCATCATAAAAGCTGAATGGAGTGAGGACCTAATTAAAAATGCTGGACTCTGCAGTTCCCATTTCATATCAGGAAAGCACACGCTATGCTGAATCATACACATTACTTGTTTTTGATTACTACAGTGATTCAGCAAAAACAGTTAAATATGGTTAATTAAACTGCGGACACCGAATGCTTGCAATAATATGTAAAAATGTATGCTCACATACCCTGCCATACAGCTGCAGTTCACTGTCAGAATGCAGTTGTTTTGCTTGCTGATGATTACCTAGGCCTTGTACAGTTCCGTCTTCTTTCCTTGTGTTTGGCTGGCAGAACCTCGGTTTTTAGCTCTACATAGTTTTAAATCTGGTAATCATGGAACATTATTTCTTGCTCATGACCGCATAGAACAAAATTGGAGGTATTCAAATTCTCCAAAGACTTGTAGGCCTTCTCTTCTCTCTTGTAAAATCACTTGGAGTTTAGATGAGATTGTATATTTTGGGCTGAATGGTTGGCCATTTCGTCTTATCCAATATTCATTAAGAGGGTGCTATCCCATGGGCAGGTCTTTAACTTGTTTAAAGCATATGGTACACTAAATTTATTTTACATCATTAAATAAAATTTTATGTTATGTATAAAAGCCATTTTGGCACAGTAGCTGAATAATTACGACTGTTAGAAGTAATTGCTTTTAGAGGGCAGATGTGGAGAGAAATGTGTGTTTTGCCAAGTTTATATTAATTATTTTGGCAAGCCGCATGATCCAAATTTCTTTCAAGAAATGTCAAGAAATATTAAAGCGAAAAATAACTTTAAGCAATAACCACTAACAATGAAAAAAAATATTTCTTGTTATTTACTTATTCTCAAGTCATCCAAGACATAAATGTCTATTTACTTCAGTAGAACATTAAATAAGATTTTTAGCTTAGCGATTCATAAATCACCTCAAAACTACCATAATTACCTTTTCTGTTTATTGCACAGACTGATTGTTTAATCATCAGGAGCCACTTGAATTAATATTATTTTACCCGTATATGTTTTTTGACTCTCAAAGTGCAGTAGTGGCTGACATTCATTTTATGAATCACAAATGACCACAACTTTAGCTGAAAATATTATCTAATGTTCAGCTGAGCTCCTAAAATGGTTTAAAAGTGAGAAAATAAATTATTAATTCATGGTGTACTATCCCTTTAAGTACAAACTACTGCTAAACCGTAATACAGTACAAAGCTGAGGTGGAAAATAAATGATATTACTTTCCCTCATTTAACACTCATAAAAAAATAAGCACAAAAATCATCATTACCAACAGCAACAACATCCATTCAGTCGGTAACGTTTCATTTGCTTACCTCCATAACGTTATTAAGGTAAATCATGAAACACCTCAATACTACCATAATTACCTTTCATTTGAATATTACCTAAAAAATGAAAATATTCAGTTGCTTGCACAGACTGATTGTTTAAAGCCTCAGTGTATCATCAGGAGCCACTTGTATTCATGTAGTTTTTCTTGTAAGGGTAATTCTTAAACTACAGGCATTTTTATGTCCTTTGATCATATATCCAAAAATATTTATAATTTTGTTCAAACTAACAATAACACCTACTTTAAAAAAATTACTACCTCTCTATTATATTTTTTCACATTATTCAACCTCCTTTTAAATGTCAAACTCACTGTTTTCACCTTGTCGCACACCCAGAGTTTTAAACTTCAACAATGAAAACAACATTTTTAAATATTATTTATCTGGTATCTATTACTGTATCTTAATTAAGCACTAGTGAAATCATTTAAATATTTTATAGTTATTAATGTGAGACTATTATCAATATTATTTTTTATACAAAATGTAGCTGTCGCACAGTATCAGTGTCATTTTCACCACAACACTGTAATATCGCTTTAAAAAGTTTGTGTGAAAGATTATTTAGGTGGTTTCTATGAAAATGAATAGTCCCATCTGAGAACATGTTCAAGATGGAGGGAATTAAAATTTTAACAACAACACTTGAAGAAAAATCAAGGTAAATATCGCTTGATAAGGTCATGTTTTTTATTCTAAGTCATTTCCAAACATGTTGCACCTTCAAAGATGTTTTTAAAAACCAAACAAAATAAGGTAAATAGGTGTAATTTGTATACATGAAATGCTAGTATCAATTCAAACCTAATCGATGAAGCCATCTTAAATTTTCAATAATAAACTGTTGAAATGTCATTTAAACCACTGTAATTTCCATCACCACACACATTTTTAAAAAAATATTTAAAATGTTTTCATCACACATTAAAAGTGTATTTACAATGTAAGTTCACCGTCTTTAATATACAAATTCAGTTTATTTATTTTCTAATAAGCTCTTGACCAAATTAATATTACATTTTAAAGTGTGACAATTGTACAATTCAGCATACAACTAATTTATTTCATTGACAAATGTTTAATTATTATTTATATTGTGTAAAGATTGGATAAACTAGGTGCAAAAATGATCTTAGACAATGTTTGACTGCCAAAATGTATTTCATTTTGAAAAAAAGCTGTATATTTAGATGGGGTGGAATTGACATTTGTTCAGTTCACAATGGAAAAAAATCTTCTTATCTAAGTTTGTCCTCCTACAGATGTTAAAACTAGACAAATTGTTTAAACTTATGAGGCTATGTTGCGTTAAGTTTGTTTTAATACTCAACTTCACAAGGCTAAAAGTGCAGGAGTTGAAGAATGGCCTGTATATGTTTTCCTGACTCTCAAAGTGCAAGAGTTGCTGACATGCATTTTATGAATCACCAATGACCACAAATATTAGCTAAAAATGTTCTTGAATGTTCAGCTGAGCTTCTAAAATGGTTTGAGAGTGAGTAAATTAATTGTTAATTTATGGCGCACTATACATTTAAGTACAAACAACTGCTAAATTGTAATATAGTACAAACCTGAGGTGGAAAATAAATGATCCTCATTTAATATTAATAGAAAATAACCACAAAAATCATCATTACCAACACCAACAACATCCATTCAGTCTGTAGTGTTTCTTATGCCCTCCCTCCATAGTGGTTATTAAGGTACTTTAGAAAGGTTCAATGAATTTCCAATGAAAGACCGAACCAAGAACAAGCAGCAATCTATTCCAGCACTGCTCAGTGACCTCAGAAATCGAAGCGGAGGCGAGACAGAAAGGCAAACGTTACAAAGTACACTGCATCGGCTAACAGCACAGCGGCCCTTTCAATTACCTGCTCAGTCTCCTTGACCACTGCTGTGTCGATTACTGCATTTCCTCTGAATACACAAGGCAGACTCACACTAATGAAATGCTTACAAATCTCTCCATCATGCCCGGTGAATCTCTAGCTCGTTCGGCTCAAACTAATTTACAGTTACGCATATAAACGAGACATAATATAGAACGACCTCCAGGAACACAAGAGGAGTCGCGTCAGCAGAAAGATCAACTATTAGCTATTAAGACTAAAAAAGAGTAGCAAGTGCACTTGACATGCAACTGTGTGATTCTGCCTGGGGACATTTACAGGTCAGACACTGTGTACTGTTTTTTTTTTTCTTTACTTCTGTTTAAAAGAGCAAAAAAAGAAGAAGAAATAAAAAAAAAATATTTGTATCCTTAATATCTTTGTTTCTTATTATAAAATACTAAATAATATATAACCACAGATAATGTTAATAAAAACATGGCTGTTATGGCTAGCTAAAAATAATATATATTAAATATATTTTAAAATAAATAAAATTATAATATAGAATTATATATCAAAAAATATTTTTATATACATATATATATATATATATATATATATATATATATATATATATATATATATATATATATATTGTATATCACAAAGGCCTATTGGATATTGGAACTCGCATGGACCCAAGATTCTCACAGAAATCAGTCAAGTTTGGTGAAGGAAAAGTCATGGTTTGGGGTTACATTCAGCATGGGGGCGTGCAAGAGATCTGGAGAGTGGTGCTGGCCATTACATTACAAACCACAGGAGAGGGCAAATTCTTCAGCAGGATAGCACTCCTACTCATGCTTCAGCCTCCACATTAAAGGTCCTGAAAGCAAAGAAAGTCAAGGTGCTCCAGGATTGGAAAGCAAAGTCACCAGACATGAACATTATTGAGCATGTCTGGGGTAAGATGGAGGAGGAGACATTGAAGATGAATCTAAAGAATCTTGATGAACTCTGGAAGTCCTGCATGAACGCTTTCTTTGCCATTCCAGATGACTGTATTTTGAGTCATTGCAGAGTTGTATGGATACAGTCGTCCAAGCTCATGGGAGTCATACACAATATTCATTCTGTTTCCACTGCAGCATGACTTTATATTCTATACTGTACATTATTTCTGTTAAATGACAAAACTTTTGTCTAAGCAAAGTCAGACTTTATTGTTCTAATTATATAATCAAATATCAAGGTATGATCATGTTTTATTTTGGTAAGATAAGGGTAATCTAGAGGCATTTGCCTTTCATATAAGCCACTTCTGAAACCAAATGGTCAACTAGAAGTTATTATTTGTTGTTCCTAAAACTTGGATAGGTGACAAGACTTTTGTCAGGTAATGTATACCAGTCTGGAAATATAATAAAATGTTAGGTCAACTGTCCCTTTAAGGCGCAGTTTTATTTGCTCACCTGCTGCAGGACTAGCCTCTTCTTCTTTGTAGTGCTCATCGTGCCACTGCATGGTCAGATAGTAACTGAGCATCACCTCCCACAAGGCCTTGCAGAGGTCGGTCAGGCAGGGGATGTAGCTGTCTGTGGTGATGTGCTGGAGACAGAGAGACAAAAGCAAACAGCTTCAGGTTCCCCTTCTCAATTGCTACAATCTCCTACAGTTTCACAGTGTAACAAACAAACAAACAAACTTCATTTCGAAAGCTGCGTGTCAACAAAGAGAGAGGGGAAAATATGAGATAGTAACCAAAGACAGGGATCTGGCAATTTCACATAAGTAGCAGTATGATATTGCTGTATATCGGCACTGGTGGGAGGCGTGCGTTGGCTCGAGCAGTAAGCCGAATGACGATATGCAGCCACATTGCACTGCTACAAGTCTGATATTGCGTTTATACAACAGTTCAACTGCGTAATTGTGTATATATATATGTATATATATATATATATATATATATATATATATATATATATATATAAAATCAAACACGGAGAGTCTCAAAACCTTTTTGTATGTGGAACTACTTTCTTCTGCCATTCATTCACATCTGGAGCTGATGGTCAGAACAGCAGAGGCCGTTACTAATTTACAAAAATCACTTTAGAGTTAGCATTTAAATGATTATCTTTCTAAATATTTAAAGTGATGACAAAACAGTTGATTTTGCTCACATTTTAAGATTATAAGTCTGAACAGCATGAAATGCCATCAGTCTACAGAGATTTCCCAATATTTCTCTGTTGCAATCAGGATATTAAAATAAGTAACCCTGCAAAAGCCAAAGCAAAGCAAACTAACAAATTACTATGGTATAAATAAAGCACTACAAAATACAACAGAGAGATCGACTTGTCACTTATCTGTGCTATAATGATTTGATCAGCTGTAGTCTGAAAATTACGCTGGTAAAAGGGTTTATTCTCCCCAGGACGTCGTTTTATAGTTCCTATTTGCAGGACAAATACAACCATACATTATTTTATAATGGTGGCCATTAGGTCATTAGGGAGAAGCATGCACCTACATAATGATGTATGGTATGTTGTGTGGTAATATTTTATTAATGTATACATGAAACTTCGCCTGTGTTATGACACCTTGCTGCAATTTTACTTTCCCTAAACGGGACTAGACTAGACTAGACAAGAATTCTTTGAAGGTTGGTTTAATAGTAAGAGAAGCCGCACAGAGTATGCTGATAGTAAATCACAATAATTTGTCAAACAGCTTCACAAAAGGGCAAGTATAAGTAGGTGTGTGCCAGCGCTGATTGTGAGAGGAAACAGCTGAGACAGAGAACAGACAGGATAGAGGAGCCTAGATCAAACCTGGTCCATGACAGTTTTAATGCATTTTTCTAGACCAGAGTGAGACTCGTGCTTTGTGTCATGACTGAAAACAAAAATGAGTGAAGGCAAAACTAAACAAGTTGAATATTACTTTTACATGACTGTGACTGAAAACTACATTGGATCAACGTGTTGCATCCGTTCTCAGTCGCTTGCTGTTTGTAAATTCATACTGCACTTCCTAACGTAAAACTATGTACACTCAATTTCTGATTAATAATAGCCTATGCATAGCCGAGAACTTCCTATATTAAAAGTTTTAAAATTGCTATTGAAAACAGAAGTCGAATATCATCAACAGTGGACATTTTGGTAGTATTTTACAACATGAGCATGACTGAAGTTGAATCTTTTTATTACCTGTGTCAATTTGAGGGTTAAGTTCTGAGGAATGCGGGGAACTAATGCGCGCAGCAATGTCACTGACAGAGAAAGCGGGTGAGCACGAAAGTAGAGAGAGTGAGTGTACGCGACCGGGCTTCAGTCATATCTCAGCAGTGTGCCACTGAAGGCTGATCTCGCTTCTTCGTGGAGTTTTGACACAAAAATACACACCCTCCCAGAACCGCCATTGATAATAATACACATGGTATATGTGTAATATAATAATATTTGCAATACAATGTTGTAAACATTCATTCATTCATTAATTTTCCTTCGGCTTAGACCCTATTTATTATGGGTCACCACAGCCGAATGAACCCCCAACTATTCCAGCATATGTTTTACGCAGTGGATACCCTTCTAGCTGCAACCCAATACTGGGAAACACCCATACACACACATTCACACTCATACACTACAGCCAATTTAGTTCATCCAATTCATCTATAGCGCATGTCTTTAAACTGGAGAAAACCGGAGCACCCAAAGGAAACCAATGCCAACACGGAGAGAACAAGCAAACTCGCTTGTTCTCTCCGCCAACTCCGCCAACTGTGCCAACTATGCCAACTGACCCAGCTGAGACTTAAACCAGCGACCTCCTTCATGTGATGTGACAGTGGTAACCACTGAGCCACCGTGCTGCCTATACCATAAACCAGGGGTCTCAAACTCGCGGCCCGTGGGCCATTTGCGGCCCTCAGTGCAATATTTTGTGGCCCGCGCCGACCGCTGTACTCTGACAGAATCAGCGGAGCCATAAACCAGGGGTCTCAAACTCGCGGCCCGTGGGCCATTTGCGGCCCTCAGTGCAATATTTTGTGGCCCGCGCCGACCGCTGTACTCTGACAGAATCAGCGGAGCGGGGAGCGCGCGCTTGTCACTCAATGCGCGTTGTCGCGCGCGTTCTGATTAGCTGTGTTGTCGCGCGCGTACTCAAGAGCGGTGTTATCGCGCGCCTACTGAAGGGCGGGACCGAGGGGGTGTTGCGTCGCGGGGGCACTTTTGATCATTTTGGAAGGGCGCTTTCTATGCAAGACTAAAAAGGGCATGTGCTCTGCACAGGTTGAGCCCTATGTGTGCACGTGCCTGCCCTGCATCTTATATATATTGATATTATAGGTAGATACAGACTGGTACAGACTGATGGGACTGGAGTGGGGTGGGGGTGTTTTATTTATACATATATACGCCTTTTTTTTAGGTGAGGGAATAGAAGTTTTGAGTGAGTTCCCCCACTTTTTTCCCTAGGACTTCAATAAGTCAAAGTACAGGTCTAGACTTAATGATGATCATCTTCAAGCCATACTGAGGGTCTCAACTGCTTCCGCTCTAAAGCCAAATGTGGTTCAGATTTGTGAGAAGAAGCGCTGTCAAGTCTCTGGCAGCAAGAAGTAGGCAAAAGATGCCATGTTCAGAAGAACTGTTCATAATCTTCACTCAATGTTCTATTAATGTTCAGGACACTTCATGTTCAGAAGAAATAATTAAAACTGTTAATAATGACATTTGAGGACTTTTTTTGTGAAATCCCTTATGCGGCCCAGCCTCACCCAGACTTTGCCTCCTGCGGCCCCCAGGTAAATTGAGTTTGAGACCCCTGCCATAAACACTGCTTAATAACAGTATTGAAGTTGTGTTTTCCTAGAGACTTTGATGAATATAAAGTTTGAAAGATGTTTTAGAAACTAAACGCCTACTCCCAACAGCAAAACTTACAAATAAGCCTCACAGCGACCGTTGTTCTGTAATCTGATGACTGCACCACATAAATTACAACTTAAGCTCCAAACACCGTTAGCTTTCCCCCAGCTGGAGAGCGTGTTGCTATGTGCAGTTCCCTGGCCTTCAGAAACAGCCGATCGTAATTTACCAAACTCCAGCGTTTCCAAGCTTGGTTAAGAAGAAAGAGCTCCAGCGTCTGACAGCGCTGATGAATATGTGTATGGATGAGTCTGCAATGCTCCTCTTCTAGACACAGCAAAGTTCATGTCAGCTTTCCCCTGACTGCAAATCACACCAACCAAACGTACGCATGTCAGCTCCTCTGAGAACGGCAGTGTCACCCAAGTCAGAGATCATTGGAAGTGTATTTACTTGCGTACACTGAGCTTGTTTTGTAGTCTCTATGGTATTATTCCTAATTATAGCGTTCCAAGAAATGCTGGAGATTGTGTGAGGTTTTGAAGGATTGATTGTTTGGTAAATATTCATTAAAGGTCTACAATCATTATCTCTGGTGTGGTCATTTATACCGCAGAGTCAGATTTACGGTTGTCTTCCAAATGTCTTCAGCGTGGTTTACAGGGAAAAATTACGTCCGGGATGACATAATTTCCCACTAAAGCTCGGCGATTTTTAATAATCCTAACGTTCTGTTCACAGGAAACTAGACTGATACACACACACTAAATGACAGGACAACAACAGGAATATTTGCACAACTGCTATTTTTACACTGCACTGTACAACATGTTCACCTCAATGGCAAATGTTTACCTGTACAGTATTTGTATTTGAGTCCAAAGTAGTAAAGAACGAAAGGGTAGTAACGAAATACATTTACTTTGTTACATTTACTTGAGTAAAACTGTTGGGTAACGTGTACTTTTTGAGTACATTTAAAGACGTGTACTTTTACCCAAGTAAATTATTAGAGAAAAATCATTACTCTTACTTCGCTACATTTGGCGGCGTTCCTCCATTACTGTCAAATGATAATAGATATGATTCATTTGTCTTATTTGCAAACATCGCAAGGTGCTGCATTGTAGAGTTTGTGTCGCGAAAGTTGCGTCTCCTGCTTTTGGATAGATTGCGCGCTCCTATGTTAGAATGATGACTGAAGATGAGGAAGATGTGTGAGTTTATACTGGGGTCACCCCATGGCCTAGTGCTGTTCTGAGAAGGACGGTCACACTGTCTGTGCAGTGAGTTTATCGGACCAGGTCCTGTCTATGTTTCCACTCCAAGAATAGTTTGATAATGCGATGCATACTGCACATCGCAACAAATACATGAGTTACAGATCCAACCTGAAAAAAACTGTGGTAAGTGTCAACATTATCCCAATTTCAAACTCGTTGATCTATTGGATAACTAAAGAAACTGCTGTTTAATGGAATAACTGATTAGCCCTGCACATTTAAGTCATTTACAATGTTAACCATTAAAAATATTAACAAATTGTGTGTGTGTGTGTGTGTGTGTGTGTGTGTGTGTGTGTGTATATATATATACCTGCTGTATATTTTCCCCAAATTTCATCAACACATTTCTATAGTTTTAGTTGCTTGCCATATAGTTTCTTTTGTTTGCTTTGCGATGATGACAGAACATAATAATTTACAAGATATAGTC